ACGTGGTTGATCCGCTCTTCGAGTTGCTTGACCTATGCGGCCAAAGCTAGGCTGCAGTCTACCACTGCACTGCTCGTTGACGCAGCTGCCGACAGTTGTGCCAACCCCATGCTGACATCATTCTGCAACTGGTCATTGAGTGTCTGCTGCTGGCTGTTGGCGGMGTGTAGTGTGCTGATCTCGGCCTGCAGGGTAGCGATCTTCGTGTCCATTGCCTTGAATGTTGTTTCATGTCGGATGAAGATCTGCCACATGGCCAGCAGTTCACGTTGCTGCCAATTGCACGTGTATAGCAGATTCTCCATCAGTACTGCTATACCTTCCTTGTTACTTTCTTCCTCGGTTGGCTCTTGCCGTTCTTCGGTTTCTTGGAAATGTTATCGTCGAAGTAGCCTACCATACGTGGCTTCGTCGCGTGCAAGGTCCATCGTGGCTTGGTAACGAGCTTGGTGTTGACTAGCCTCGACCTGCTGCTGTTGCAACCGTGCGGCTGCTGCAGCTTCTGCTGCGGCCTGCTGACGTGCTGCCTCTGCCTCTGCCAACTGGCGTTGTATTTCCTGCTGGCGGGCGACTTCCTCCTCTTCCCACTTGCTGAGTTTAGCTGTCGTGGTCTCCGAATAGAGTTGGAGCCATTTGAGAAACGCTAGAAGTGGTTCAGCCGGCCTGCTGAATTGGGATAGGAGGGGTAACCGGCCTCTTGGGGCTGGCTTGTGCATTGTCGTCAGCGGTAGCAGCCATGGTCGTGCGTGGCCTGTGCGAAATCCAAGGGGTCCTAGGTCCTTGTTGAGGCTTGGCTCTTGCGGATCCACGCTCGGCCGGTCGTTGGCTGCGGCACATCAAGTACTCTGGCCTCCGTCTGCTGCTAATTGTCACCGCTGAGGTGGCACCTGCTGATGTGGCACTGCTGAGGTGGCCGCTGCTGAGTGGCACTCGGCTGCCGTGGCACGCTGAGGTGACACGTGGCTGATGTGGGACTCTGCCTTCGTGGCCCGCTGCTGATGTGGCACAATGCTGACGTGGGCGGAGACTAACGTCCATGGTACCGAGAGGAGGAGAGAGRAGGTAGGGTGGGGAGGAGGGGCAGAGAGGCAAACAATGCACAGACAGTCCCTTTCTCCCTGACCTCAAAGTCTGACACTAATCAACAGAAAAAGCAAATTCCCCCCTGAAAATTTTAAATTTTGAGAAATTAAATAAAATTTAATCGGAAAATACGAATTAATAAAATTTAATTTTGGCAAAAGATTTAACTATTTAATTAAAGAATATTTAAATTTTGCGATAATTCGCATCGCGCCCCTGTATTTTGCGATAATTCGCATGGCGCCCCTGTATTTTGCGATAATTCGCATCGCGCCCCTCTCAACAGGGTTGAAATTTTCGAAAAGACCCCGGTGTCGTTTAGGCCTCAAATCTTTTCGTCACGCCCCTATCAGTACCGGTCAGTAATTTGCGTGATGCCCCTACTGGATGGCCGTTAAAAGCCTGCGGATAAATTTTCGAGATGCCCCTACCGGTACTATCCATCTTTTCGGCACGCCCTTGTCGCCGTTGGAGACACTTTGGGGCATTCCCCCGGGCCTGTGAGGGAGCTACCGGGGCATGAAAAAAATTTGTCGGTGGTCCCATCTTTCCGCCGCGCCCTTGCTTGCATACAACGACAGTAGGCCACTGCGGCTGGGTGATTTTAGCATGTGCGGCCTCCCTGTGATGCACATTTATCCTTGCTCTGTCTCTCTCTCTCTTTGTGTGTGTGTGTGTGTGTGTGTGTGTGTGTATGTGTGTGTGTGTGTGCCCTTCTTATGAGTGAGAGGCACGAATGGCTTTCTTGTTCCTGCACATGGCTTTCCTGTTCAATTGGGGCCTCTCATTACCATGTCAAACACTACAGTTGCGTGATGGTGGGGCCGTAGCTTCATCGAATGGCAATCATATAGCCTCACTCTGGAGATATTGAACGCCTTGTAGTCCAAATTGTAATTTGTTGAATGTATCTGACTGGAAGTACTTGTCAAGCTTCAGTTGAGGGAGTTTTGGCATGAGTATTGCATGGATGACTCTGACGCGGTATTTGGTACGTCGCTTAGCTTGCCTTCTGCACATCTTTGAGATTGCCCCTCATTCATTCCAACATTTCATGGTTTGATAAGTGTTTTGGCCAGGATCCATATACATACCCATGTGGAATTGGACCGGTGATCGCAGAGACAACAGTCGGTTCCCTTAAACGCTTGACTGTTGTTGGCAAAGAGATGTTCGACACCCTTTCTCATGGTCCGGGGCCTGAATGTAGGTGGATATCGGGGTAGGTTCAGGTGCTAGAACTGGATAGCAAGTTGCAATGACGTTCTCTCCAGAAGACAGGAATAGTGGTTGGACGTAATGCACCTGTGAAGGCAAAGACCGCCTGGGGTAAAGGTTCAGGATGCTGAGAGTCATGGGTACCACATTGGATACAATAAGTAGCCTGGGCATTCACCCAGCACTCGTGATACTGCTCAACCTCGAGGGAGAGTTGGGCAGAGCTGTGGGTCAAAGGAGGAGCCCAGAGTGAGGAAGAAGACCTTAATGGAGGGCTGGTGGTATAAGGGAGTACGCCTAAGCTATAGAGGTAGAAAGAACCAGAACCAATTACCAATGTCCTCATCCAATGCAATAAACAGCTTGCCTGTGATTAACTCCCAAAACATCAGGTTTGACATGCCATTCGCCATGCAAGCCTCGTCGTGTTATACATGCGAACAGGGATGCAAAGATCGTTGAAGCAGCAAATGATGAGACGCGACAGAGAGAAGGCGGACGTGCGGGGGTGAGAACAGACCAAGTTTAGCAGAGATGTTGCGATTTTCTCGCACTCCGTCCAAGGGACATGATAATTCAGAACGTCTTTGCTGCAATAATTCAACATCTCACTGCTAAAATACCTACAAAACTAGGGACAACGTTCTCAATGTACGTGTTCGAGTTTGACTCCACACACAGCCAACACAGTCCCAGCGATAGACGGCGACACGTGCACATGACTTCAAAATATGTGGAACTAATCAGCACTCGATAATGTTCTTGGTGATCTACAAATGTCCCCTGGCTCCCCTCGTCTCTCTCTCTCTCTCTCTCTCTCTCTCTCTCTCTCTCTCTCTCTC